AAAAAAAAAAAAAAAAAAAAAAAAAAAAAAAAAAAAAAAAAAAAAAGAGGGGAAAAAGGGAAACGAGCGCAGCAAATTATCTTGAAACGAATCGAATCACGATGTTGCACACATTATATATCGAACACTTAAAGATCTGTAAGAGCTTCTTTCAAGCTACAATTACACAAAAATACTGTCAACTTTACCGTTTATTATTGCTATTATTATTATTATTATTATCATTATTATTATTATTATTATTATTACATCAAACATATCAATAGTACAATTTCTTTAATATTACTTTCTATGCATTATATAGAGGCATGAAATTACAAATGCGTTACCCTGTAATGATAAAACGGGGATCGATCAATTTGGACATTTAATGCCACACCACGTATGTGTGTGTGTGTATTGCCGCCTAATCGAGGCTATAATACGAATTCAACTGTGATAAAAAAGTTCGTTCGATTTTTCAAGAGAAATATATATATATATATATATATATATATATATCTTCGAAAGAAAATCAATCGACTCGTACGCGTGTTTACTTTATTAATTGTATCCGGTGCAAGAGAATAACCATTTTTGAAATTTCTTCGCGTGTTACGAACCGATTCAGCGATTATCTTTTCGAGTTGCTTCGAGATTAAATACCTGAAAGCTCACAATTGGGAACAGTTGTAATAAAGTTTCGATAGATGAAAAAATGAAATGAGATCTTTTTAATTCCGTAATATCGTAACCGAAGTAGAGAAGTATATCAATTACAAAATATTTGAGATTATAATATATGTGTATAATAATATCATGAAAACGTTCATGAAACGTGATTGTCGCATGGTTGTAACAGTTCATTATTCATATCATAGTAGTATTGTCGAAAAAAAAAAAAAAAAAATTACCTCGGCTATTTAACCGAACAAAGTCTTTCTTGTAATAATACAGAAGGTACAACATTGTTTTCGTAGATTCGTGTTTTTTCTCTTCTTTGTAGATAAAATTTCTTTTTCTGTTCTTGATTGATTGACACGATCTATCTAATGATTTTTGTTATCATTGTTGTTGCTGCATATAAATATACATATATAATATAATGGATAAAATTAACAATGAAATAAATTGGATTACATTTCTTTAATATGATCGAAACTACGATCGATTTGTTTTACCTTCACCATGTTTATTTGAGATTTCCGTATATTATTATGGACATTCATTTGTAAAACGTGCTGAGCTTGAAGCTTTATAGTTTTATTGTTACGTATTTCCCAAGGCCAAAATGGATATTATTATTATTATATTTATTTGTTTAGCATATTGTATATGTATTATTTCAATAAATCGTTATTTAATGGTTCTGGTAAATTC